AATATATATATATATATATATATATATATATATATATATATATATATATATATATATATATAGACACACATATAGTGAAACACACACACAAATATTCCAATCATATGTGTGAGGCACCCATACAATAATGAATTGTTGTGTAATTGTATATATGCTGAATTCTGTCAGTTAAATTAATAATATAGGAGCGTGCACACTTATACACACAGAAACATTTTATGCTATTCGTCTATTTGTGTGTGTTTTGTAGTGTATGCTATATATATAGACACACACATAGTGAAACACACACACAAATATTCCAATCATATGTGTGAGGCACCCATACAATAATGAATTGTTGTGTAATTGTATATATGCTGAATTCTGTCAGTTAAATTAATAATATAGGAGCGTGCACACTTATACACACAGAAACATTTTATGCTATTCGTCTATTTGTGTGTGTTTTGTAGTGTATGCACTATTATACTATTATACAAATGCATGCTTGCGCAAATGTGATATATCCTCCCTTGTCTTTTGTTTTAATACCAGCACTTTTTACATGTTTCTGGATTTCTTCCCCCGTTCCAGCTAGATGTCCCTCGTACCTCTTCCTCCAATTGTCAGAGCCCTCCATACAAACTCCATACATCATCCAGCCAGCAAACAACTGCTGCTCCGCTCCTTCCACTCAATACACTAACAATCTCCTTCCAGTATTTTTTGTCTCTCCTAATAGATTTAAAATTACAAGTCAGCGCATTATTCAAACAGCTTGTTTGGGGTGTGTAAGCGTATCTTTAATTGAAAATGCCCTTGGGAAGCATATTTGTTAAAGGGAAACAATTATTGTCCTCTCCACTGGGATATTCATGGTGCTCTCAGTGCGTCTGCACCTGCCTTAGTTAAAAGATCTGTCCTCCTCTCCCCCCTAAAATCAGGAGAAAAAATTAAATTGACCTTCTGATATTGTTCAATCGCCCAGTATCCTTCAATAAACATTCTTCTTGAAATTGCTCAGCACTGCTTAAAAAACACAGAGCCCCGCTCTTCGTGACAAGTAATTAATCTATTATAAGAAAATAAAAACATCTTTAGAACGTTCTGCTCCCCCCCCCATTCTCTTTTCTTGTGTGCGGGTACAATGCAGCAGATAGGACTTGGATCTCAGGCAAGGCTATAGGCACATGATAATGTGAAGAAGACTTTAACTAGAAATGAACACATCAGGGCTCACCACGTATGATTAATGTTCTTATTAATGCTTGTATTAATATTTCACTTGTTTTATATGCCTAGCTGACAAAATAACACTGCGGTCCTGTTTGGTGTTGAGGAAAGGTAACTAACTATACACACAGAAAAGAGAAAATGATAATAATAATAATAAAAAAAGATAGTTAACAAAACTGTCTAACAATACAGTAAGGTTAAAATGATCTAGACATGAATTCTAAAAAAAATAAGTATCTAAAAAAGGTATACTAAATATGTACATCGTAATGTTGTAGTAATAGTAGTACACACACACACACACCTATATATCATACATGTAGACCTTTGCATTTTATATTCATATCCATTAGCATAACTATATCATATACTGTAGATCTATATATCTATAGCCACACATATATTTATGTGTAATGTACTGTACGATTTTAAATCTCCACACGAACTGCTCTTCCAGTCCCACTCCGGGAACATATCATTAGCAGCATTATATTAATACAACTTTATCTCTATCAGTTAGTTAGCACACCTATCAACACCCGTCTTTAATTACAGCTGTGCCTAGAATGACTAACCCACCTTTGACGGGCATAAATTAAGCTATTCACTAAAGTGACAGACAATTAGCAAATATTGTTTGTTAATCTCAAACAGTACTCCGAATCCCGAGGCAGATTATACTGAAATCCCCTTTTATCACCTCGTTGTGTTAATAAGCTTATTGTGAATGAAATGTTTCAGAAAGGATGACCTTGTTGTCACAAGCAAAGTTTCGTTCGGTATGGTTTTTTACTGGGCTGTGCAGCATTGGGTTCAGGTGTATATTGCTGGTTCTGGTGTATTTCTGGCAGCTGATGTTACAGCTTCCACCCAAGAAAGTATTTAGGAATCCTGCAAGAATGATATTGTATATAGACTAATGCACAGTTGAGTTATGTGTCATCCTTATCTCTAGTGATTGCTTAATTGCTGTGAATGCTGAAAACCATTCGCTCTGTTTATCTGATGGCTGAATATTGTTAGTATATTGCATTGTGTAACTTTTTTTGACTGTTTTAGTTTATATGAAGTGATCACACCTGGTTGGTGTGTAAGCGGTCCATCATTGGTTTAGCCAGCAGGTAGTGCTGTGTATCAGTTCATCAGTAAAGGAAGCTCCACTTCTTGCAGATTGCTGGGATGATAGAGGGACATGTTAATATTGCTCTTGCC